CGGTCTTTCAAACTTTTGGGATTTTCGTTTCCCCCAGCTGCAAAAGAAAAGAACGCGCCTTTCATTAAAAAAATATAAAGTGACATTTCTAGACGACACCCATTTTTAAATAAGTGCCCTCCGTGTTTTTTTTTGTTCGACATTAATTTTAGGGTACGCATAAAAGCGTGTCCACTATCCTTCAAATTTTAGAAGAGATAACATTATTTTTAGGGCACACGCTTTTGCGTATCTTAAATCACCGCGTGTCATTGTTTGCGCGTCATTAAAGGGCTATTTTCTAGTAGTGTTCTGATGTTGAAGCCCGTCCATTGAGTTCTACAAACTAGGGGATATACTTTTTTTCAGTTTTTTCACCATTAAAGTTTCCCTCATCAACCCAATCTATAAAACCACATTTTGATCCCTACATTTTGAGTAATATGTTGTGTGTTAGAGATACGTGATATATGGATCTACTTAAGATGAAATTATCCTTACCTTCCCAGTACAACAATAGAAAAGTCTTCTAGGGGTTTTCTTGGTAATCGGTGTTCGTATTTGTAACCCCGTAAATTTTCAAACAAAGTTTTCAGTTTCAAGAAAGCATAATTCTCAGTATCACATTTCAAAACCACAGTTGTCAAATTGTCAAAAAACACAAAATCATAAATTGTTTAATAAAATCTAGGATCCTCAAAAACATAAACTCCATATCGTGTGTACAATTAAACCGACACCGACTCAGAACTCTTTCTAAGAAGTTCCCTCTAGGTACTCCCACTCAACACATACTCAAGGCAAATAACATATAACATCAATCAATAGCATACCCTAGACTAAGTCATCATGAATCATGAAACTCTAGCCCTAATTTCTGAAGTACCTAGCCTATCCTCTAGCATGCAACTCTAATATCTCATAATATAAGGAAATAATGGTATTCTGGGAAATCACCGTTCAGGCTCTAGCTAATTGTACACACTGCCCCGTCTTGTTTTCTCTTTAAAACTCTTACTCGTTTTAGAAAAATTATTTCTCTTTATAAATTTTTTCACAATTCCTTAGTTTGAGTCCAGACATACCCGAGAGTACATCTGAATCCTTCAAACCAAGGCTCTGATACCAACTTGTAACAACGTAAATTTTCAAACAAAATTTTCATTTTCAAGACCACATAATTATCAATATCATATTTCAAAACCATAATTGTCAAATTATAAAAAACACGAATACATAAATTGTTTAATAAAATCCAACATCCTCAAAAACATAAACTCCATCTCGTGTGTACAATCAAGCCGGCGCCTTCCCGTGATCCTGAGAAGTACCTGAAACACATAACACATAGCACGATAATCACAAAGCTTAATGAGTTCCCCAAAATACCAAACACATCACATTAGCCTCTCATGGCTATATCTCGATAGAGACCCTCCGGTCAATGTGTCTCAGTAGGAACCCTTCGGTCCCACAACTCGGGTTGGACCCTCCGGTCCTAACTCAATAAAGTTTGGGTTAATACACAACATAAATCACAAAGACATAAAACAGGATATCACAATTCTCAATATAAGCATACAAGACCTATCGGTTACACAATGATACCACTCATGGTAACCATAGTGAGAAGACGCACCTCGTAAGTAAGCAAGTAATCCTCGTAACCCTCGAACGGTCTAATCCTCGCCTACACGTCATAATCATCTCTAATTAACACTTATCACCTCAAACTAAGTAAGTTAAGCTAACCTTTTTCTCTAACCCTTGGGAAGGGTAAAAGACCATTTTACCCCTCCATGTCTCCAAACCATGTATTGACCAAACCCTAAAAGTCAACAAAAGTTAACACTCGAGTCAATAGTCCCTGTTGACCCAAATCGTCGAGTGCATCTATGTGACTCATCGAGTTCCCTCGTTTCCTTAGAAATGTCGTGAAAATCCAACTTAACTCATCGAGTTGTCTCATCAACTCGTTGAGTTACACATGTCCAGACTCGTCGGGGAAAACCCTAACCGACTCGTCGAGTCCGCTTATCGACACGCCGAGTTCCTTCAATCCATTTTCTCATTCAGACATTTTAAGGTGGAAATGATGTCTTACACTCTAGATCTAGTCTTCTAAGGCTCACTTATCACGTAAAGTTGCAAGCTTTACGTTCATGCATGCCATCTAGGGCTCAAAATGCCAAAACAAGCTCCATAAAGTGTTTCATGCATGGAGACTTTTCCAAAGCTTGATAAAGCTTTGATCTTTGGGCTCATGGGACCTCCTTTTGTCTAGATATGGAGTCTCAACTCCATGAAAAGCTCCAGCAACTCGAGAACCACAAGATAAGGGGACAAAGCTGTAAAACCCTCTAGAAAGAGATCTATCAAAAGAAATGCTCAAGGTGGTAGTTTTTACCTCCAAGCTGAAGCTAGCATAGAGAAACACTTGGGGGCTGTTTGTTTTTTGTTTGAAGATCTGTGCAACCACTTTTGTCTGCGCCGCGCAGACAACGCGCAGACATATGCCCTCGCAGATTGTTTGTTTTTTTGGAAGTGCGCAGATCAGAAAACGTCTGCGCGAGGTCTTCCTGGCGCAGACATGGGCCACTATCTTCAAAGGTCTTCAGACCTCATTTTAACCTAAAAAAAAAAAAAAAACATGGCCACCGTGCAGTTTTTTTTTCTTTCATTTTTTTGTTAAAAATACATTTTTAATGTTTATAACATGAAATTAAGTTTAATAATTCAATTTATTTTAACGGCCCGCAGACGTTAAAAACAAACAGTCTTCTTATTGCAGATTGCAGACATTTGGTCCACCTCTTCTGCCGCAGAGGCTTGCAGATGTGGTCCGCAGACTGCAGACATTTTGACTTCAAAAAAACAAACATCACCTTGATCAACAAGCCTCTTCTCAACCCAAAGCTTGATGCTCTTCAATCTTCTTCCAGTTGTGCAGTAAAACACCCAAAGTTAGTTCCCTTCTATCTTTCACAAATGGATACACACGATTAGGGTTTTTCACAGAGGGTTAGAATGATAAGGGAGGTGGAAATGAGGGCTTAAGGCCCTTTAAATATGACACACACCATGAAAATTAGGGTTTTCTCACATAGCTCCTACTCGTCGAGTCAGGGTCCTCTGACTCGTTGAGTAAACTTTATAATCCTGTGGCCATTACACTCTCTACTCGGCGAGATGGTGCCCCCAACTCATCGAGTTTCCCTGCCAAAATGAAAGAATATTAATTAAATAATATACTCGGGGCTTGGGATGTTATAGTATTACACAAACTTGACCACACTTGTACGTTTTTGCCATTAGGGTTGATCGACACTTCACATAAGAGGAAATGAAAAAGATGGAGATTTGGCATATAAGAGAAGAGAGAGTCAGGGGCAGTTCTAATATGTTTATGAAATAAAAGGACGAAAATACCCCCTCATGTGCGAAGCACGTAGGGGGTCTTAATGTTTGGAGTTGCCAAAAAACTGACACAAGGACCAGGCGGGTAATAAAAAGAAAAGGTGAGGATGATACGAATGCAAAACAAAAGATAGGGACCAAACACACAACTTTACCCAACAACAGGGACGACTTTAGTACTTTGTTCTTTTTTTAATGGGTATTCACCAAAATTACCTTAGTTGGAGTAGTTTACCAAAACATCGTAAATCAAAGGAAAATATTTATCAAAAGGTAGTATGTTTAGATTTATTTACCGGTTACTCTTGTTTGTTAACAAAAAAATTTATCAAGTGCATCTGTTGATGTCACATATGCCAACACCCTCATAGCTGCAATACATTTATGTATTGGTGAAAAACATTATTTGCCTGTGTCATCACGTCTTTGTTGAAAATATCGGTCATTGGCTGTAACAGTTTCCACTATACTGAGAAATAATGGTTTTCGCATTCGGAATCTACCACAAAATTTTGCTTCACCATACGTTGGTTGTTAACAAAGTAGTCTTTCATTAAACGTGCCTCACTCTGCTCACGTTCCTGATCACAATACCTCCTTCTTGCTCTAGGATGATCTCTTACGCTCATGTTTGGCATGCTTATGAGTAACCCACTCATGATAACATCAAGTTGTCGATTCTGTTGAGCAACTCGTGCTTCTCATTCATCATATTCATTCACATTTAATGAACTAGACCCATCTGATGAGTTTGCAAAATGAGAAATTTTTTAAAGAGATTAGAAATGAAGAGTGAAATGAAGAATTAGAGGTGGATATGAAAATATGTAAGTGTTATACTCTATTAATATAGGAAGAATATTGATTTTTGTTTTTTTTCAAATTTTAAATAAGAGTAAATTACTGAAATCATCCCTGTGGTTTGGTCAAAATTGCACGTTTGGTTCCTAACTTTTTTTTGCACTCGGATCGTCCCTGTGGTTTGATTTTGTTGCGTTTTTCGATCCTATGGTTTGGTAAAAATTGCATGTTTGGTCCCTAACTTTATGTATGTAAGGGACGAAAAATGCAACAAAATCAAACCACAGGGACGAAAAACGCAACAAAATCAAACCATAGGGACGATCCCAGTGCAAAAAAAAGTTAGGGACCAAACGTGCAATTTTGACCAAACCACAAGGACGATTTTAGTAATTTACTCTTAAAATAGTTTATCTAGATAAAACCCAAGTATCCAATAAAAAGATGACACATCATAGAATCTTATACACATAAGATAATGGCGGATTGTCTAGATGATAAGATTATATTGACAACTTTGCATTCAATAAAGATGATAATGACAACTTTGTATTCAATAAATGCATATTGGAACTAAGTGGTGTCTCCGAAAGATGATAATAACAACTATGCATTCAGTAAAGTTGATAATGACAACTCTACATTCAATAAAATATATTAGAGATACATTAAAAGCATGAGATACAAATACATAATTAAAATATCTTACAAATACATTAAAAACATGAGATACAAATACAAAATAAAATATCTTACAAATACACTAAAAGCATACTGAAAATAAAACATACACTAAATTGCAATTAGTTTCCATAAAAATTAGATATTAGAAAACATTTCATGTTTTCTTCTTCAAATGACAAGTGCTCTTTTTGTAGGAGTGTGTTCAAATGCAAACTCTGCATCTTCACTAGCTCCTTTTCATATGTTTTTTGCTCCATTTGTTGATCCAACTCGAGTCTTTTTTTCATGGCTTCTACTTCACTATCTCTACTAAGACTCATTGCACGAAGTTCTGCAACAACTTCATAAGAAGACTTACCTTTTTCTTTTCTTTTAGCCGCATCTCTACCCGTTGGACGTTTAATTGTTGAACCAGTAATATTTGTCCCTTCTATGTTGGAGTGGACACAATACTCCCCTTCTTCAGTAGACCTTGATTTTTTTTTTTTGTGCTATCACCACTTTCTTCATAACCCACTTCATATTCAAGACGTGATCGTGTTGCATCATGATCTAGCTGTAAATCCCATTTTCGATGTTGACACATAACCTCATTAAAAACAATTGTGTCATTGAACTTGCTTCCACTTGTCTCATACAATTTATGAGATTCATTCTCAACATCTTTCATACTCATTCCACTTCTTCTTTTTCTATATGTTTCTCACCAAACACCAACCTATTTGCCAGCACTTTCATCAAGTCGTTTATAATGACTTTTCATTGAGCTATGTTCTTGTTACCAAGCTTTCCTGGATTTTCCGCATGATTTGCGTCATATAGCTCCTTCACTCGTGCCCATATTGGTGTTTTATTTTGGTTTTTTCCACGTCTCTCATCTTCACTAACGATACAATATGCTAACATTAAAAAGATATCTTCATTAGCATCCCATTTATCATCTATTGGATTTTTTCCGGTATTTTGTATTTTGTAAGGTTTGAACATTTTCAGTGATGGGAAATTAATTGGGATTTGCGAAAAAACTGTGAGGTTTCATAACTTTGAAAGTTTTGATAATCTTGAGAATCATCAAGATTTAAAACGAAATTTAGATTCATCTTATTAAAGAAATTAAAAGAGTTTAGAAATGAAAATTTGAGATGAGATATGAAATATATCAATATTATACTCTATTTATAGAGAGAAAAGAAATAAAAATTTTAGTATTTTTTTGTTTTTTTTATTGAGATAATATTAGATTTTTAGTAGATAATGATTTTTATCCTAAAATATATAAATATGGTGGAACATTTTTTTTATTCAATGTTAAAATGAAATAGTTATGATCTTTTGTGAGCTGGGTTGTTTTGTCGGCCTAATTCATCAAAATTAATTCATTTTCTTTTGATAAATCTTGGGTTCACCAAAAATCCTTGATGAGGGTAGTCTTAAGAGCCTTAGAAAAATTTCAAAATAAAAAAATTTATTTTTTTTTACAAAAGTGTAAAAGAATTCAAAGTTCATATAAGTTAAATAACAAAAAGTAAAAAGATTTGATTGTGAGTCAACTTCCTGTCTATCGCAATCCTCACGTCATTCTATATTTATCTTGGATAGTTGGATATGTCCACATCCTCTATGCAATTAACTAATCTTTGCCATTTTAAAACTTCTTTTTCAAGTGTAAATTTTTGTAGCCAAGAAACATATATAGATCTCTTTCAAAAACTCCAAGCATCCTTTTGTATTCATAACATTTTGCACTTGTTACATCACATTTATCTTAAAAATTATATTTCTAGTTGTACATTTTGTAAAAAGGCAGTATTTTTTTTTATGATAATTATTTGTTATATATACAAGACAATTACTAGTATATAGTAGCTAGTAGTAGTCTTCCATTTTTCTTCAAACTCATTACTCTAGGGATGTACTTGTACTTCATTCTTAATGACTTGTACAAGATGCTGCCGAAAGCCCAGACACATGGCCCTTGTCGATGATGATACGTCTTATTATTTATATCGCCATCTTTCCTTTGAGTCCGCACACATCTGACCAGCCAACCCACCCACCAACCCCCTTTCCTGCTTCAAGATTGTCCTTTTATTACTCTTGAAAAAAACCCATCGCCGGAGTTTAGTTTAACCCTCAGCCGCCGCCTACTTCACCGGTAGCAATTCCTCTACTTTACTCATGGATGACTACTTGGGTCTCTTCGTGAAGGAGACCAATCTGTACAATCAAATAGTGCTCGGTGGTTTACTGCCGGAAAAGCTGTGGACCCCGCTTCCACACTTCCTCCAAGGGTGGCTGCGTAACTACATTGCCGCCACTCTTATTTACTTCATCTCCGGCGTCCTCTGGTGCTCCTACATCTATCACATTAAGCGTAATGTTTTCGTACCCAAAGGTCAGATTTTTGTTTATAATCTAGCAATTAGCTGATAAAAAAGTTGCTTGTTTTTGTCTCCATTTGATAAATGTGAGTTCCAATTCCATCGGGCGTTTTACGATTATAAATTCAATCAGTAGTCGTATGCAGCACGTATAAAGATCGCTTAGTTTCTTCGTTGTTCTCTTCTGTTTTGCGATTTGAACCACATATCGATATTCATAGATGCTTGTAATTATCTAACTTTCGGTTTTGTTTTTTGGGTTTTGTGTGAACCGAATCTTTAGCTTATGATATAAGTAATAACGATTGATCCCGATATCGTTCTAGATTTTCAAGAACTTGATCCCCATTTGTTTCGGGATAAATATCTTGATCCCCATTTTGAATATTCGGATATGTTTTAGAATCTAGTATATGATTTACTATTCTACCCATACTTGAATGCGATTCACAGGTTGCTTTACATCATCCTCCAAAAGGAGCACATACTCTAATCTCTTTTCAGATTCAAATGTTATGAATGAAAATAAAAATTTCTAGTAGTGTTTTATGTTTATTGAAATCTTTATTGATTTACAGATGCGATTCCTTCAAGAAAAGCGATGCTTTTACAAATATATGTAGCAATGAAGGCGATGCCATGGTATTGTGTTCTTCCTACGATCTCTGAATACATGGTTGAAAATGGACGGACAAGATGCTTTTCAAGAATAAGTGACGTTGGATGGGCTTCATACGTTTGGAATTTTGGGCTTTATTTCTTAATTGTAGAATTTGGGATTTATTGGATGCATAGAGAGTTGCATGATATTAAGCCTCTTTACAAATATCTTCATGCAACTCATCATATCTACAATAAGCAAAATACACTTTCTCCATTTGCTGGTGAGTAACCTTGTCTACACCTTTCAACCACTAATACTTTATTTCAAACCATGAAAGTCTCATAAAGTTTTCTAAATTAACCGTTTTGACTTGATATTGAGACCTATTATAATTTATATCATGTCAAAAAGGTTAATTTGGGAAAAAAATGTCTGGGACTTTTGTGGTTTGGTTGGAAAAAATAAGGTGTAAGTGGTTAGTTAAACTACAAATTTGCCCAAAATATAATGGTTTTGTGAAATTAAAAACTTTAGAGTTTTTGTCATTTAGGTTTGTTAAACAAGAAACTTTGGGGTTCTTGTTGTAAATATAGGATTTGCTAAAAATCTTGATTTCTTTTTGGTAACAAAAAGGTTGATGATCTCCAAAGTTTTGAATTTTAAGGTTCTTGTTAATTAGGCATGTTGACCAAGAAAACTTTTGGGTTCTTGAAATTTAGGCATCTATTCAAGAAAGCTTTAGGGTTCTTGAGATTTAGGCATTTATTCAAGAAAACTTTAGGGTTCTTGAAATTTTGGCATTTGTTCAAGAAAACTTTTAGATTCTTGAAATTTAGGCATCTGTTCAAGAAAGCTTTAGGGTTCTTGAGATTTAGGCATGTATTCAAGAAAACTTTAGGGTTCTTGTCATTTAGGCATGTATTCATGAAAACTTTAGGGTTCTTGTCATTTAGGCATGTATTCAAGAAAACTTTAGGGTTCTTAAAATTTAAGCATGTTGAACAAGAAAACTTTAGGGTTCTTGTCATTTAGGCATGTTAAAGCATATAACTTGAGGGTGGTTGTCTTCTTGAAACTTAAGCATGTTAAACAAGAAAACATTAGAGTTCTTAGTAAGCATCATATAATTATCTAATTGGTGTGTATTTTTTTTTGTTCAGGATTGGCATTCCACCCAATAGATGGAATTCTGCAAGCATTACCACATGTAATTGCTCTATTTATAGTGCCTACACATTTCACAACACACATTGTGCTTTTATTTCTGGAAGCTATATGGACAGCTAACATTCATGATTGCATTCATGGAAAAATTTGGCCAGTAATGGGGGCAGGATACCACACAATTCATCATACAACATATCGTCATAATTATGGGCATTACACAGTCTGGATGGATTCCATATTTGGTACCCTTCGTGATCCTTTGGAAGAAGAAGAAACCAAGAATATATGATTGCGACCAATTTCATTTGTAAATGTACGATTCCATGGTTTAAGTTAGATTAATTTGATCAATAGAACTGTTAGATATCTTCATGTGTATGTTGGACCAGATCCATGTATTTTATTTTCCTTTTTTTTGTGGTCAAGAATCATGATCCCCTTGTTTCTGCTAAGATTTTTGCTAAAAAAGAGGTGGTAGTGAATTGGTTTGTTGGCATTTTCTTCATGTTATTAGACTTGGTGTATTTTGTATCATTATATTCTTTAATTATTATATTGAGTTTTGTTTCATTATTCTTTGATTATTATATTTTTTCGACTATTGAATATCTTTTACCATATTATAGGGATTGACCATTGTATTTAATCCGAGGCAATTGAGAATGGGAAATTTGCGTGATGATACCATACAACATTTTTTTCACCACTCCACTCATTTCAAACAACCCTTGTTCACTATCCTTCTCGCTGTTTGGCCCACCATGAAAAGCCCTCCACCTCAGACTAATTACCAACCCAACAACCCTCACATTCTCGGCTCAAACAACCCTCCTCCATGCTACTTACCGACTTGAAATAGGACCAAAAACTCACGTAGACACATCTCCCTACACTCCTACTACATCTCAACATCCCTTCAACATTCCCTATATATCCCCATCATCAATGTCTTCTTACCACATCTCAACAACCCTTAAACACTCATAATCCATCCCCATTACTTATGTCTTCTTACTACAAACCCAAAATCTAATTCTTGGAGACAACCTTATCTCATGGTTGGCTAAACTAAAAATCACGTTGTCCATGTCCAATGCAGAAGCCGAATACTGCGGTGTAGCAAACTTCGTTGTTGAAGGGTGTTGCTATATAATTTACTCTTTAAACTACATGTCCCACATGGGGGCATTGAGAGAGAGAGAGAGAGAGAGAGAGAGAGAGAGAGAGAGAGAGAGAGAGAGAGAGAGAGAGAGAGAGAGAGAGAGAGAGAGAGAGAGTAGGCAACTGTATAGGACCTGATTTTTTTCATTATTTAAGAAATAAAAAATTATAATAAATATAAGGACATTTTTTTTTCTTGTTCGTCTTGGGCTTTTGAGAATATTTAATTTTTCAAGACCGATCATTGTCCCACTTTATCTGTCCACCCTGATTTATTGTGACAACGTTTTTGCTGTCTATCTATCTCGTAACTTGTCCAACATGAACGCGCAAAGCACATCAAAATGGATATACCCTTCATCAGAGAAAAGGTCACACTCGGTCACGTATGTGTTCTCTATGCACCATTGGATTTTCAACATGGCAACATCTTCGCAAAAGGTCCTATTGTGTAAACTTTTCTTCAACTTCAAATCCAACTTGAGTATCCAATCTCTTCCCGCACAATTTGGGGGGGGGGGGGGGGGGGGGGGGCTATTTAGACATGAGAAATTAAAAATTCTCCTGCATTTTATTCTTACTATACTCCACATTGTTATCATTAGTTATTAATTATGATATACATTATTTCCCACAAATTGTGGGGGCCTATTTAGAGGTTTTATGGTAAAGACCGGTACAACCCTATAAATTTTACCATCTTTTAGGAAAATTTTCCATGCAATGTAACCCTTGAGTCTTTGTCCTTGTCAAGTAGATAAAAAAGAGATCCATAGATGCATACATACAGTCTGGAAGACCTTGCCTCATCAGCCAAATCAGCCACGTAGATGATGACATGTCAAGATTTTAATGGGACCTTTGTTGCATTTGGATAGATTTATCTCGCCACTCTGCATTTCGAGTTTTCGACTTCTAAACTCAGCTTCGAGGCAAGATTTTTGCTTCCATCACAATGTCAGCAAGGATGTTTCTCTCCCCCACCATGCTCTCAAATGCTTTGAGTTTCCCCAAAAAAATTCACTGCTTAAACCCTCAAAATCATCCCGATTCCCTTTCTGTTCCCATCCAAACCAATCCTGAAATCCCTGACACAAATAATGAATTTAAGCTAAATCCTCCGATTCCAGCTACAAAAACAGCTCCATGGATGAAAGGTCCTCTTGTTCTTGAACCCAATCAAGTTATTGACTATTCAAAACCTAAAACCAGGAAGAAGTCTTCTGATAACAAAAACGAAAAGGCCGAAAAATTATTGACCCATAAAGTTAGTGGCGGAAGAGGCAAGCACGCGATGAAGAAAATCTTGTACAGTATAGATATTCTTGAAGAAGAAAATCAAGAATTAGAGGATACCCAGAAAAATTTAGCACCAATCGAGTTTGAATTGTCATTGGGGAAGTTGGGCGAAGATAGCGACGGAGCAGATAAGAGATTGTTTCGCCGGAAACTGCCGTGGGAAAGGGTGGAAAGAATGGTGTTTAGGAGGACAAAAAGGGTGAAAGCGGTGACTGCAGCTGATATAACCCTTAATGATGAACTACTTGAGAGATTGAGAGACGAGGCTAGGAGGATGAGGAAGTGGGTGAATGTTAAGAAAGCAGGAGTAAACGATGGTGTTCTTGAACAAATTAGGTTAATTTGGAAAACCGATGAACTCGCTATGCTCAAATTCGATATGCCCTTGTGTCGAAACATGGATAGAGCACGCGAAATCGTCGAGGTTCGTAATGTTTCATAATCACATCTTGTAATTCTCTAGCAACATACAAATCAAACCCACAAATTTTCTTCATGGCAGATTAAAACGGGAGGCTTAGTGATATGGAGTAAAAAAGATACTCTTGTTATCTACAGAGGATGCAATTACAGAGAGATGCGATCTAGTTTCCATGGTGGAAAAGAGGAGACGAAGCCTGTACAAGGATCACTTTACGAAAGGGAAACTGATAGATTATTAGATGGTTTGGGCCCTCGCTTTATTGATTGGTGGATGCCAAAGCCATTGCCGATTGATGCAGATTTACTTCCTGAAATCGTTCATGGATATAAACCACCTTCAAGACTTTCTCTAATGAACGCTCCATCTAAACTCACAGACAACGAGTTAACCCACTTGAGGAAGCAAGCTTACCATTTTCCTACCCATTTTGTCCTCGGTATGTTCATCAATCTGTTCGATAATTTTATGTGTATTAAGTATTAACGATTCAAAGAGATAACAGGGGCGCCATTGTTAACTTTTTTACAGGAAGAAATCAAAACCTGCAAGGCTTAGCTTCCGCCATTTTAAAGCTATGGGAGAAATGTCACATTGCAAAGATCGCAGTGAAATGGGGAATTCCCAATACAAACAATGAACAGATGGCTTATGAACTGAAGGTAATATTCGTTTGACCAAAAAGTCAAAGGGAAATTTAGACGTTAAAGTGATAATTTGTTAACATGTGCAGGTTTTAACAGGTGGAGTCTTGTTACTACGTAATAAATTCTATATAATTCTTTACAGAGGCAAAGATTTCCTTTCTCCCACCATTGCAGACCTTGTTTCCAATAGAGAAATGGAAATCAGAAGTTTCCAACATCTAGAAGAAACCACACGTTCCAACATAAGTCAAACCTTTGACTATATTGATGAAACATTATCGGATCTTGCTCATGTTAGCACCATTGGTACATTAAAAGAATTCGAAATGATTCAATCAAAACACCATGGATTCAACTCCGGAATTAGTGATTCCGAAGTTGAAATCGAAGCTGAAAAGTTTAAGTTAGCAAAAGAAATCCGGAATCAAGAACACAAGTATTTCATCGTATGGATATTATACTCAAATTACTTTCACATTTCATTTTATTCGAAAAATGGATATTATAAAATTTATAATCAATTACTTTTTGTTTCATTTTGTAGCTCAAGATGAAGATAAACAAAGCATCAAAAGAGTTAATGAAATTATCCTCTGCATGCAAGACCACAGAGCCAAATGAGGATCAAGAGATTATGACTAGTGAAGAAAGAGAGTGTTACCGAAAGATGGGGTTGAAAATGGATAGCACATTAGTTCTTGGTAAATAACGAATATAAATAAGATATGAAGTTTTTGCTTTTTTTGGTGATTATGTTTATATTATTGATTAAAAAATGTTGTTTTTTTTAGGGCGACGTGGTGTGTTTGATGGAGTGATAGAAGGTATGCATCAACATTGGAAGCATAGGGAAATAGTGAAAGTGGTTACAATGCAAAGAGTGTTTTCAAGGGTGTTGTACACTTCACAATGTCTTGAAGTAGAAAGTGGTGGAATACTTGTTTCCATAGAGAAATTGAAACTTGGGTATGGAATAATTATGTATCGTGGGAAGAATTATAAACGCCCTTTAAAGATTTCAAGAAATCTACTTAGTAAAAGAGAAGCATTGCAGAAATCTTTGGAGTTGCAAAGAATTGGGGTAAGTAAAATAAAGTTAAGATCTTCATGTTTGTGTTGTGTTATCTTTTTCTTTCTTAAAGATAGAATGAAGGTTAGAATAATGGTTTGTTTTTTGTGTTTTAGTCATTGAAGTTCTTTGCAAATATGAGACAACAAGCTATTTATGAACTTAAGTGCAAATTGGAGAAGCTTAGCAAATAGTCTTCTTCCTTTTGAGCCATTAAATGTTCTTCTAGCTCTACTTTGCTTTTAGATATGATATTGGGAGAATGGTTATGTCTGGAATGCTACAAAGTGAATCCTTTTTGACACAATGAAAAAGGTGGTGATTCTAATTTATTATATTATTCTTATTCCCTTGTATTTTTTTATTAAAAGTATTTGTTCTAGTGTTAAGTGGGTAGATTGTGGTAGAAGTTGATGCTAATCTGTGTGTGCTTTATTGTAGGGAAATCAAATAGAAGGTGGAAAGATGGATGATCTAAATGTGTAATGCACCCCCTACCCACTTAGCCTATTAAGACATCTTTTATGTATTAGGTCAAAAAGAAACGTCCCTATATGTATGTCTAGATTAAGTCCTATCTTCATTAAGTTTGTTAAGCCAAAAAGAAAGTTTAAGAAGGGTACTTAGGTCTTTTTAACAATAGGGGTGGTGAGGTAACTGACTTGTCTTTTTCTTTCGTCTTTAGCCTCCATATAATTTGGAGTAGGAAAAGAGAGAAAAAAAGGGGGGGGGGGGGGGGGGGGGGGATTGAATTCTGGAAAGAATAGTTGGCTTGGACTTGTATTGGGAAAAGAAGAGCAATACCAAACTTGAAGAGAAAACATTGAAGATTGAAGGCAGAATGGAAGAGGACATCATCAATTAGATATATTATTTATTTCCTCTTTTTGTTTTTTTATCTTTTTATTAAACATGTTTTGGGTAAAAACTTGTTGAATCCTCTATAGTTCAAAATTATCGGTTTTTTCATATTGGT